AAGTTTAAGCACATTTAAAGCAAATGGGAAATTAGCAACAAATGTATTAACCCCCACCCCCTTCTTAATACTCTGGACGTTATATGCACCAAAAGTTTAAGTTTGTTCTGGACATTGGTTGATAAGCGCTCAAATAAGACCTTTTTAATGTCGGTTGCTAGAATTTTTGCACCCTGTTTTCGATGAGGTATATAATAATCTACATTTCATGTGAGTTTCAGCACATTTAAAGCAAATGGGAAATCAGCAACGAATGTATTAACCCCCACCCCTTTACTAGACGTTATACACCCTGTATGCGCCAAACGTTTAGGTTTGTTCTAGACATTGGTTAATATGTGCTCAAATAAGACCTTGTTAATGTCGGCTGCTAGATATTTTGCACCCCGTATTCGATGAGGTATATAATAATCTACATATCATGTGATTTTCAGCACATTTAAAGCAAATGGGAAATCAGCAACGAATGTATAATTAACCCCAACCCCTTTTATATACTCTAGACGTTATATGCGCCAAACGTTTAGGTTTGTTCTGGTCATTGGTTGATATGCCTTCAAATAAGACCTTTTTATTGTCAGCTGCTAGAATTTTGGCACCCAGTATTGGGTGAGGTATATAATAATCTACATTTCATGAGATTTTCAGCAAAATTAAGTCAAATGGGAAATAGCGGCGACTGAATTAAAGCCCGAAACCCCCTCACCGATATACTCTACATGTTATGCGCTATACATTTAAGTTTGTTCTGCCACATTAGTTGATATGCCCTCAAATAAGACCTTTCTAAGTTCGGTTGCCAGAATTTTTACACCACGTATTCGATGAGGTATATAATAATCGACATTTCATGTGAATTTCAGCACATTTAAAGCAAATGGGAAATTAGCAACAAATGTATTAACCCCCACCCCCTTCTCAATACTCTAGACGTTATATGCACGAACAGTTTAAGTTTGTTCTGGACATTGGTTGATATGTGCTCAAATAAGACCTTTTTAATGTCGGCTGCTAGACTTTTTGCACCCCATATTCGATGAGGTATATAATATTCTACATTTCATGTGACTTTCAGCACATTTAAAGCAAATGGGAAATCAGCAACGAATGTTTTAACCCCTACCCCTTTACTAGACGTTATACACCCTGTATGTGCCAAACGTTTAGGTTTGTTCTGGACATTGGTTAATATGCGCTCAAATAAGACCTTGTTAATGTCGGCTGCTAGAAATTTTGCACCCCGTATTCGATGAAGTATATAATAATCTACATTTCATGTGAGTTTCAGCACATTTAAAGCAAATGGGAAATCAGCAACGAATGTATAATTAACCCCAACCCCTTTTATATACTCTAGACGTTATATGCGCCAAAGGTTTAGGTTTGTTCTGGACAATGGTTGATATGCCTTCAAATAAGACCTTTTTATTGTCAGCTGCTAGAAATTTTGCACCCCGTATTTGGGTGAGGTATATGATAATCTACATTTCATGTGAGTTTCAGCACATTTCAAGCAAATGGGAAATCAGCAACGAATGTAATACCCCCATACCCTTTTAATTACTCTAGACTTTATATGCGCCAAAGGTTAAGGTTTGTTTTGGACATTGGTTGATATGCGTTCAAATAAGACCTTTTTATTTTCAGCTGCTAGAATTTTTGCACCCCGTATTGGGTGAGGAATATAATAATCTACTTTTCGTGTGATTTTCAGCACATTTAACGCAAGTGGGAATTAGCAACAAATTTATTAACCCCACCCCCTTCTTTATACTCTTGACGTTAATTGCGCCAAACGTTTACGTTAGTTCTAGACGTTGGTTGATATGCGCTTAAATAAGACCTTTTTAATGTAAGCTGCTAGAATATTGGCACCACGTATTCGATGAGGTATATAATAATCTATATTTTATGTGAGTTTCAGCACATTTAAAGCATATGGAAAATTAGCAACGAATATATTAACCCCCACCCCTTCTAAATACTCTAGACGTTTTTTGCGCTATACGTTTAGGTTTGTTCTGGACATTGGTTGATATGCGCTCAAATAAGACCGTTTTAATGTCAGCTGCTAGAATTTTTGCACCCCGTTTTCGATGAGGTATATAATAATCTACATTTCATGTGAGTTTCAGCACATTTAAAGCAAATGGGAAATCAGCAACGAATGTATTAACCCCCATCCCCTTTTATATACTCTAGACGTTATATGCGCCAAAGGTTTAGGTTTGTTTTGGACATTGGTTGATATGCGCTCAAATAAGACCTTTTTTATTTTAAGCTGCTAGAATTTTTGCACCCCGTATTGGGTGAGGTATATAATAATCTACATTTCATGTAAGTTTAAGCACATTTAAAGCAAATGGGAAATCAGCAACGAATGTTTTAACTCCTACCCCTTTACTAGACGTTATACACCCTGTATGTGCCAAACGTTTAGGTTTGTTCTGGACATTGGTTAATATGCGCTCAAATAAGACCTTGTTAATGTCGGCTGCTAGAAATTTTGCACCCCGTATTCGATGAAGTATATAATAATCTACATTTCATGTGAGTTTCAGCACATTTAAAGCAAATGGGAAATCAGCAACGATTGTATAATTAACCCCAACCCCTTTTATATACTCTAGACGTTATATGCGCCAAAGGTTTAGGTTTGTTCTGGACAATGGTTGATATGCCTTCAAATAAGACCTTTTTATTGTCAGCTGCTAGAAATTTTGCACCCCGTATTGGGTGAGGTATATGATAATCTACATTTCATGTCAGTTTCAACACATTTCAAGCAAATGGGAAATCAGCAACGAATGTAATAACCCCCATACCCTTTTAATTACTCTAGACTTTATATGCGCCAAAGGTTAAGGTTTGTTTTGGACATTGGTTGATATGCGCTCAAATAAGACCTTTTTATTCTAAGCTGCTAGAATTTTTGCACCCCGTATTGGGTGAGGTATATAATAATCTACATTTCGTGTGATTTTCAGCACATTTAACGCAAGTGGGAATTAGCAACAAATTTATTAACCCCATTCCCTTCTTTATACTCTTGACGTTAATTGCGCCAAACGTTTACGTTTGTTCTAGACGTTGGTTGATATGCGCTTAAATAAGACCTTTTTAATGTAAGATGCTAGAATTTTGGCACCACGTATTTGATGAGGTATATAATAATCTATATTTTATGTGAGTTTCAGCACATTTAAAGCATATGGAAAATTAGCAACGAATATATTAACCCCCACCCCTTCTAAATACTCTAGACGTTTTTTGCGCTATACGTTTATGTTTGTTCTGGACATTGTTTGATATGCGCTCAAATAAGACCGTTTTAATGTCAGCTGCTAGAATTTTTGCACCCCGTTTTCAATGAGGTATATAATAATCTACATTTCATGTGAGTTTCAGCACATTTAAAGCAAATGGGAAATCAGCAACGAATGTATTAGCCCCCATCCCCTTTTATATACTCTAGACGTTATATGCGCCAAAGGTTTAGGTTTGTTCTGGACATTGGTTGATATGCGCTCAAATAAGACCGTTTTAATGTCAGCTGCTAGAATTTTTGCACCCCGTTTTCGATGAGGTATATAATAATCTACATTTCATGTGAGTTTCAGCACATTTAAAGCAAATGGAAAATCAGCAACGAATGTATTAACCCCAATCCCCTTTTATATACTCTAGACGTTATATGCGCCAAAGGTTTAGGTTTGTTTTGGACATTGGTTGATATGCGCTCAAATAAGGCCTTTTTTATTTTCAGCTGCTAGAATTTTTGCACCCCGTATTGGGTGAGGTATATAATAATCTACATTTCATGTAAGTTTAAGCACATTTAAAGCAAATGGGAAATTAGCAACAAATGTATTAACCCCCACCCCCTTCTTAATACTCTGGACGTTATATGCACCAAAAGTTTAAGTTTGTTCTGGACATTGGTTGATAAGCGCTCAAATAAGACCTTTTTAATGTCGGTTGCTAGAATTTTTGCACCCTGTTTTCGATGAGGTATATAATAATCTACATTTCATGTGAGTTTCAGCACATTTAAAGCAAATGGGAAATCAGCAACGAATGTATTAACCCCCACCCCTTTACTAGACGTTATACACCCTGTATGCGCCAAACGTTTAGGTTTGTTCTGGACATTGGTTAATATGCGCTCAAATAAGACCTTGTTAATGTCGGCTGCTAGATATTTTGCACCCCGTATTCGATGAGGTATATAATAATCTACATATCATGTGATTTTCAGCACATTTAAAGCAAATGGGAAATCAGCAACGAATGTATAATTAACCCCAACCCCTTTTATATACTCTAGACGTTATATGCGCCAAACGTTTAGGTTTGTTCTGGTCATTGGTTGATATGCCTTCAAATAAGACCTTTTTATTGTCAGCTGCTAGAATTTTGGCACCCAGTATTGGGTGAGGTATATAATAATCTAAATTTCATGAGATTTTCAGCAAAATTAAGTCAAATGGGAAATAGCGGCGACTGAATTAAAGCCCGAAACCCCCTCACCGATATACTCTACATGTTATGCGCTATACATTTAAGTTTGTTCTGCCACATTAGTTGATATGCCCTCAAATAAGACCTTTCTAAGTTCGGTTGCCAGAATTTTTACACCACGTATTCGATGAGGTATATAATAATCGACATTTCATGTGAATTTCAGCACATTTAAAGCAAATGGGAAATTAGCAACAAATGTATTAACCCCCACCCCCTTCTCAATACTCTAGACGTTATATGCACGAACAGTTTAAGTTTGTTCTGGACATTGGTTGATATGTGCTCAAATAAGTCCTTTTTAATGTCGGCTGCTAGGCTTTTTGCACCCCATATTCGATGAGGTATATAATATTCTACATTTCATGTGACTTTCAGCACATTTAAAGCAAATGGGAAATCAGCAACGAATGTTTTAACCCCTACCCCTTTACTAGACGTTATACACCCTGTATGTGCCAAACGTTTAGGTTTGTTCTGGGTCCCGTATTATAAAACAGTTACCGTAGCGGTAAGTGCTCATTTGAGCGGTAAGTCTCAAAAGCAGCGGTAACTTTAAGATAAACGGTAAATATCCGTTGCATAAAAACTTACCGCTGGACTTGAGCGGTAAGTCTATAAAGATCAGCGGTAAGTCTATAAAGATCAGCGGTAACATTACCGCTACCCTCTGAGCTTGCGGTAACACTACCGTAACTATGGCTGCGATACTGGCTGTCTTGCAGCGTCGTGGATATGAAAGGGCGAGGAGGAGGGAGCGGATCTTCAGAGATCGCAGCCAGCCGTTGGAGTTGGGGGATGGTGACATTTTCCGGAAGTACCGGTTTACTAGGGATGGTTGTATGCATGTTATCAATTTGATTCGGCCCCTGTTGCAGCACGACACCCAACGGAATCAGGCACTTCCCCCAGAGCTGCAAGTTTTCATAGCTTTGAATTTTTATGCAACGGGGGCAGTGCTTGATTCCACGGCCACGATTCATGGCATCACCCGCTCAACAGCATCCAGGGTAATTCACCGTGTGTCAGTGACCCTCGGCACACTGAAACATGAGGTAAGTCAATACATTTTTCTTTAATAAAGCAAAGAGAAGACGAAAATACAGTCTGTCTAAAATTTGTATTTTGAATTTTCAATCAGCAAATTAATAAGACGAGGATGAAAAAGAACTCTATTTTTGTCATGCATGACATGCATATACTAAAAATACAATGCATTTTATAATGAACACATGGAAGACCTATTTCAGATAAATTTATATGTTTAATTAATCTTAGACGACCAAGCAATGACATGACAAAGGTCTATGCAGCGGTCTGACAATTTAGTGGTTGCCATGGGACAGAGCCCGCGACTGTGCCGGCCGGGCGGGAGGCTGGGGCAGCGCTGGCGCGGTCGGTTAGTTGGCCGAGCCTAGCTGCCTGTCTACTACTGTCACTGCAGTCTCTGTGTAGTAGTCTGTAGACCTATAGTATCATTTTATTAGTGGTCATATAATCAAACAATAGCTACGTCTAATAAAGAATTCATAATAATAAAGACATCTTTATCCAAACTTCCTTCCCCAAGTTAGCGAGAGTGCAAGTGCTAGATGCTAGCGCTAGTATATTACTATTTTGCACGTAGTCCTAGGTATATTGATTTGTGTAGAGTCGCCCATAAATTGGCGTGATATGATGCGAGCTTGATTGTATGAATCGTGTACCTATGACCCTTCATATAGGTATATATGTCAAAACAAATTTCTTACTGAATGATGATTGCATGATGAATGACTGTCATGACGAAAACAGCACCCTTTCTAATGCACAAAACGAGGAGTCTCTCATCACATTCACATGACCAGAGGCAGAGGCAAATGTTGCATGCACACATATACTCTAAATTGAAACAGCTGAGCCCAGAGTATGGAAAGCTATATGCCAATCGATAGATATTTTAACGTCTTCAATTTCCAATTTCATCATTTCCTCTTTTTGCACAGATATCAAATAGACTTAATGATAAATTTATATGCGCATACACAGCAGTAAAAAATACAACATAATTAAACTACCGTCACAAAAAAAAAAACTCACAAGAAAATGGTTTTAAAAAAATATAGTAAAACAATACTGCTATATATAATAAAGAAAATGATAATAATAATGATTGATGAAAAGACCAAAAAAAAAAAAAAAAACACAACTGTCATGATTATATTAAGAGGAAGAACGTAGATTCAAACAAGATTCTCCCCGGAGAAGCATAAACTAATAAGTAAATAATAAATAACAGGAGAAAAGAGAGAGAGAGAGAGAGAGAGAGAGCTATATAGAGGCCCGGGAAGAGAGAGACGAGGGGTATAGAAAGAAAAGAGATCAGGGGCGGTATTCTGAACCCTGTGTTATCTCTAATATTGTTGTATCTTTGAAGATAAGATAAAGTTGGTATTCTGAACATTGTTGTAACTTTTGTGTTATCTTTTGTTGTATCTTTTCTCTCATCTTATTGGCCGCACCTGCGCTCATACTTTGGTGCGCTTGTAATTGTGCGTATTATTAATAAAGTGGCATTTAATTCTCATTTGCATATGCGCACGGGAGATAATATGTCGAGATAATTGGTATTCTGAAAGTTGTTGTATCTTTTATCTTATCTTATCTTGCATGGTATTTACAACAATATTTACAACAGGTAGGGGGTTGTTGTATCTTTCGTGGTGATATAATGGCGGCAATATTTTTTGCCCAGAACCAACTTCGTGCCAATAGACGAGTTAGAAGAAGATTGTGTTGACCGGAAACATCACAGATGAGAACTTTCTAAGATATTACATGCTAGGATAGGACTATTTTAATGCTCTCATCTTAACCAATATAGTGAAAGCGTGATTTGTCTTCATGATCCAAATTCAACAGCGCATAATGATGACGCGCGTAATAAGTGCTCAAATAACTAATTACGCCCAGGATTAGTATGCGCTAGGCGCATCTTCAGATATGGCATAAAGTATTCCTATTGGTTGATCTACTTGTCATGCTTATATAAAATAGATTTTGATTGGTAGGGTCCATAAAAATGGGCGTGTCATCAATGGTCAAAGATAAGATAGAGGCGGTCCTTCAAGAGATAACACAGGGATAAAACAATGTTCAGAATACCAACTTACAACAATATTAGCGCTGTGTTATCTCTGGAAGATACAACAAAAGATAACACAAAACTTACAACAATGTTCAGAATACCACCCCAGTTTTTAAGAATAGTTATAGGAATAGTTAGTTGCATCACCATTAATAGCATAACTATGAATATGTTCATGAATTCGAGTACAGCCAAAGAAAACTTGCACTCTCTCTCATAATTTTTTTTTTAATCACTTCACAAACTTCTTCAGATATTTCACATACTTTTCTCAACACTTGATTGAAAGAAAGAAAGTTCATGTCCAATTCTCTGAATATTAAATGTATTCGTAGGAGATAAATATTTATTCATATAATTTACAATGTGATAAAGATTACATTTCTTGATATAACATCGTTTCTGTCTATAATAATAAATACTGGTGAATTTCAGCATAGCTGTATAAATATAATGACGATGAATAAAATATACGTCAAATTACATTTCAAAAGTTTGCACATGAATTAGACTTGTATTGTATACATAACATATGAAGATCTGCAACATGGAATTATTGATTTTTGTTTTCTTTCTGCATCTCCAATTCACACTTCAGATAATCAAGTTTCCAACGACAATGGAAGAAGTCAACAGAGCCCAAGTGGATTTCTTCAACATATCAGGCTTTCCCCAGGGGTGGTATTCTGAACATTGTTGTAAGTTTTGTGTTATCTTTTGTTGTATCTTCCAGAGATAACACAGCGCTAATATTGTTGTAAGTTGGTATTCTGAACATTGTTTTATCCCTGTGTTATCTCTTGAAGGACCGCCTCTATCTTATCTTTGACCATTGATGACACGCCCATTTTTATGGACCCTACCAATCAAAATCTATTTTATATAAGCATGATAAGTAGATCAACCAATAGGAATACTTTATGCCATATCTGAAGATGCGCCTAGCGCATACTAATCTTGGGCGTAATTAGTTATTTGAGCACTTATTACGCGCGTCATCATTATGCGCTGTTGAATGTGGATCATGAAGACAAATCACGCTTTCACTATATTGGTTAAGATGAGAGCATTAAAATAGTCCTATCCTAGCATTTAATTTCTTAGAAAGTTCTCATCTTTGATGTTTCCGGTCAACACATTATCTTCTTCTAACTCGTCTATTGGCACACAGTTGGTTCTGGGCAAGAAATATTGCCGCCATTATATCACCACGAAAGATACAACAACCCCCTACCTGTTGTAAATATTGTTGTAAATACCATGCAAGATAAGATAAGATAAAAGATACAACAACTTTCAGAATACCAATTATCTCGACATATTATCTCCCGTGCGCATATGCAAATGAGGATTAAGCGCCATGTTATTACTAATAAGCACAATTACAAGCGCACCAAGCTATGAGCGCAGGCGCGGCCAATGAGATGAGAGAAAAGATACAACAAAAGATAACACAAAAGTTACAACAGTGTTCAGAATACCAACTTTATCTTATCTCCAAAGATACAACAATATTAGAGATAACACAGGGTTCAGAATACCGCCCCAGGTCATAGGAGTGGTCGACGGAACACACATTAGACTAAATGGAGCTCCCTTGGGCCCTGGTGAGCACGTCTATATGAACAGAAAAGGATATTACTCCATCAACACCCAAATAATTTGTGATACCAATTACAAGATCATAAACATTTTGGCACGCTGGCCAGGCAGCACTCACGACAGCAGGATATTTCAGGTAAATCCATAATATTTTGATTCTAAAATTTCCTATGTAACCCACTTTTGTTTTTAATGCCTCCATGAAAACATATATTGACATACATGTAAATCATTGAAATTGATGTCAAATGTTTGTTACAAATGCTACAAAATAATTGTGAAGCTAAGATCTTACAATTTTTAATAATTTTTCAAAATGTGTATATGCAAGAGAATGCAATAAATATCAAAGGTCAAGGGGCACCTATTCTACCATATTATGTTCATTCTTATAATGATTCTTCCTTTATACAGAACAGCAGAGTTGGACAGACTTTTGAAGATCTACAACAGCATGGTCTACTTCTTGGAGATTCGGGTTACGCTTTAAGACCATACCTGATGACACCAGTGCTAAATCCAAGGACTCCTGCAGAACAGGCTTACAATAGGTATGTACTACAAGAAACATTTCAATGCATATTTGTATCTACAATTAAAAAAGAAAGTGAATGAATGTATGCCATTTTAGACATCAAAGCAATACCATGATGTCAATTTGCCAATCACATCTCTTAATTAGCAGGATGAGTGTTCATGAATACCATTTGGCCCAGAAGAGCTACAGGTAAAAAAGAAAATTACTCATATATGTGACTTACTTCCTTTTGACAATGTATAGGTTAGATGTATAGCACTGTAGTTAGATGTACATGTATTTTCATAGTCTAATAGACTTCCCAATAATTCTTTGTTTTTAATTTGTTATACTTCAATTCCTTTACTCTGCAGAGCACATGCTACCACGAGAGTGAGAATCGAACAAGTCAACGGCCAACTAAAGCACAAATTCAGGTGCTTACTGAATGGTATGCAAATGGCACCCAGAAGAGCGTGCAAGATCATCACTGCATGCGCCGTATTGCACAATGTGGCTAAAGATTTGAAGCAGCCTGATGAAGTAGACTTTGGTATTGAACAACATGAACACGAACCAGACAGGGACGACCACATTGTAGACAACGGCTTAGCCATCAGAAACACTATTATTGCCAATTATTTCCACTAGATTTTTATGATGAAGACTTCTATATACTGTAACCAAGAATCTTTTTCAACATTCACTGTCACTGACCTTATTGTTTATCTATATTTTATATCATTCAAACATACTTATTTTTAGGGTGGACTTCCCCTGCTTTAAAACACCATTTTGGGTCATCTATAAGTTGACACATTAATTCTTTTTATTACTGCACTATTTAGTTGTGACAATATTGTTGAAGTATACTTGTACTATATAACTCAAGTGGTAGTAATCTTCTGTTTGCATTGAGAATCTTAATCAATTCAGTACTGCATTCAACCGGGGGGGGGGGGGGGATTAATTGCTAAGGTAGCACCAAGCCAAAATTCAAATTTCACGGAATCGCCGGGCTAGGGCATGTTCTGCTGACCTGCCAATAGTCATATTGTTTTATAAATTTGTATATGAATGTGACATCATATTCAAGGCCCTCTTTCAATGAAGTGTGTAAGATATCCTTTAGATTGGCCTCATAACATTGTTATCTTTAGATGCAGTTAATTTACAGTATAATATATGGGAAGAGTTTATCTCCTGAATTTGTAATTTGTTCTATTCAGAAGCAGGCCACATATTTCATCCAAACCTGACTGGGGGGGGGGGGAGTCCCGTGGAACGCTCATGCATAGTCAATTCATTTTTAATAACGACATATTCATATTAGATTTCTGGGAAACCTAATTTCCTTAGTTCCAAAATGCACAATGATATAATCTTTTTGAATACTGAAAGGTAAAGTTATCATGAATAAAAACAAAATTAACATGGAATTTGCAAAACAAACAAAGTAACAATTTTAAACCTCTTTTTGATTAAAGACAAATAATTCGAAAACGTGAAGCGCACGCTTCATGACTAATAACTTTTCCTCCTCTATCTCCAAAAGTCTCTCTTCATAACAGCTGATTGGCTTTTTGGTGTCTTTGGCCGTGCTATCCCCTACTAGAACAGGCTGGTCTATTGGTGGTCCGGCACTGCTGGCTGCACTAGTACTGGTCTGTGGGTCCCGGGCCGGCACAGATATGCCACCCACCATGGTGTTAACCATCATGGCCACAGCCATGGCATTTTCTGCTGTCTGTATGCATATAACAATAAAGATTGCCTTGATTGAGTTTTAAAGAACTATAGAACCATACTGTCTAAATGTTGTTATTATTATTTTATTTATTAAAATTCTGTGATAAAAAGAGAACAATGTCAGTAAGGGTTTTATCTAATCATCAATATGTTTGAAAAAAAGGTTTAAAACACCCCCCTAAAAAAAATATTTAAAAAATGTAAGAAAAAAAAATTGTTGTACCGTACACCATCAGTGAGGATTTTGTTTTTGTTAAACAAAAAAATTACCATATACCCGTATTGAAAATGCCTCACATAAAAATACATGCCACATTTGAATCTCATGTTCAATGGGATAAATTTTTCAAATAGAGTTAGGGGGGTAGGGTGGTCAACATAACATTGACACTTTGAAGGTCGTCAACTAAATTAAGTAATATAGTGGTAAGCATTTCAATACCATCTACAATTCAAGATAAACCCTGATTAGGCCTGGGTATTTTTGAAGTTCTCAGAGTTAGGGAAAGGGCTCCCCCGCCCCCTTCCCTGAGATTTCGGCCAGCGATGCAGACATATCGTGCAAAGTGTTGAGGAGGGGGGTGGGGGTACTTGTTTCCCCCCCCCTTGGCTCAGTTAGGGTTAAACCAAAGATGTACATATTCACAAGTCATGTATATTTTTATGTTTGTTTGTACTCTCATACCCAGAGAGGGGGTCAATCAAATTCTACAAATTTTACCTGTGACATTTGGCTCGAAGGGAGAGCTAGGTATCCAGCCTCCTCTTCTGGCCCCAGAATGCCCTCCACACTCTCCTCCACCATTGCCTCCAGTACTGCCTCGTGCTTCTCATTATATTCCACTGGTGGTCCACCTCCTAATGATCCAAAGTCAAAGAAATAAATGTTAACTTCTTACCATAAATTTTACGAAATGTTAATATCGATCGTACAGTTAAAGAGAGATCTTGGATTAGGTCGTGATGGTTAATAATCTACACCAAATAAGTGTAAGTTGTGATTTGCGGTTTAGTGGTGGTTATTTTACCCGACTGCTAAAAAAGCACCAGTGCTTATTAGTAACCGACGACTTTAGGTCCTATCTAAGGACCTTGGTAATGAGGAATAATGCCTTAATACCAAAGGACACTAGTGCATCGACGACATGGTTTCGAACCTAGGTCGTCGGATTATGAGACCACCAATCTACCAACCAAGTCTCCTGATAATAATAAACCCCTTTACTAATTCAATACTCTTCTTGACAGGCTACTCTAGAGTATTCTTTATTGAAATAGGATATACCATGCAAAACATGCTATCTTTTTAAAGAGAAATAAAAATAAAAAAAGCCTAGCATTCAAACACTAGGCTGTTGTCCTAAGTCATGAATGTTGATATGATATATTAAAGATAATTTTTTAATGCATGTACAATTTATGATGACCTATGGTGGTACAGTAAATACTAATAGCAGATGGAATCCCACCATTTTAAAAACTTGTTTTTTTATTGCACAAATGCTTTCTTACTTTTTAACTTTTCCAAAGCACAGGTAACTATTGGTGATAAATTACATGTGGTAGGAGTATACAAGAAAGGTACCTTTTACAGTTTTATCTGTTACACAATAAAGACAGCTTAATTTACCTGTCTTGTTCTTTGAGTCCCTGTACTTTCGAGCCTTTGCCGCCATTTCGTTCCAGGTAAGACGCAAGTCCTTTACTGTTCTACCTGGTTGGAGTCCCTGGGCCTCTAGGGATACGAGCCCTAGGGCCCATGCATCCTCTTTTCGTTTTTTGATCTACAAAAATTCAAGAACAAAAAGTACAATGTAAATTGGAACCTACTCAAGTTCTCTTTAATTATATGCAATAGATGATTAACATATTAATTCACCCTTACTTATTTTGAAAGAATACTCTCATATGGTAGCATCCAACTGTCTCCAAAGACAGTGGACTGCATTCTGTCTTGGGCATCAGAAAAAATGAAAACCAAAACATCATTTTCGGTATACTTATTAGAAGAAAAGTTGAAAGAAGGAAGAAATAAAAATAAGTTAGATAAAAAGACTCTTTATTCAAATTCGAAATCATAGTTATGTTCTGGAAATTTTAATAAATAGATCTGCATTGGATTTTACAAACCTTTTCCACACAGTTCCCCGCTTTGCCGAACAAAGCTTGGCGGTTCTTTTTTACGTAGTCTGCCAGGCAGCGGACATCCCGACCTGTCAAGTTCGGCCTGCGTTTCACCATTTCCTAGAATGAAGAAACAAAATTAAAAAACTAATGAGAAACCAGAAAGATTGTTTAAAATGAGTTCTGTTAAATCAACCTTGACGGTATCAAACCCTTTTAAACACAAAATTGTTGTTCGGTTTTGTTACTCGATCAGTATAGGGCCTCGATCTATAGACTCATGCAGTATCTCAATATTTCTACTAGTATAGGTCCAAAACCTGCCAATTAAATTACCACTATTTAACTTTTAAATATAGACTAGACTCTACATGTAGTTAATGCATTTTACAATATATTATTATTATTATTATTATTATTATTATTATTATTATTATCAATAACTATTATTATTATTTATCAATTGAAAAATAAATTAGAGTTTAAGGAGTTTGCTTAGACTAGACCACTCAATACTCACAATAGACAATTACTAGGGCCTATAATACTAATAATAGTAAAAGATTTACTTTTTCAACCAATGTAGATCTATGTATGAGTAAAAGCTAGTCTATGCTATAGTTTACTACTTAATCATGTTAATATTATTGGGTTCTGTAAATCTACACTCGGTTTATAGACCTTACTCAGTCCGACTCTTGAGTCTGAGAAATAAAAACTCCCCCCCCCCCGCAAACTTACATTAGGGAGGGGCTTTTCCAACTCCCTGCTTACATGTAGTCGATCTAGATTATAGTTTATACAGCTCAGTATATCGTTATATTTCATGCCCCTGTTAATCGCCGGCCCAATTATCCCTCAGCTCTCACACTTGACATGCACACACTGTGACACTACACATATAGTCTAGGGTCTATACTATTTTAAATAGTATCTGATTATAGATCTACTACTAGTCTGAAGCTGAATAAAGTTGAAATTCTAATTGAGAGTCTATATAATTATAGACTAGAAATTTGAATGAAGTTGAAATTCTAATCGACTTGTCTTATCGAGAGTCTTAATTTTATCTAGATATTCTAATTGAGAGTCTAGTATTTTACATTTTTAGAATGATATTATGAGGTAATTGCAAGTTGTTTACCCTTAAACAACTTTAAATCATCGGGAATTGTAGATAAACGAATGTTCAAAACACCACCCAATCTAGTCATGCTAGTAGTGGAATGTCAGATTATGCTACCCAGCTCCTCCGGGGAGCTCAGTACTCTAGTCCCCGCTGGCTTCTGAAAGCACGTACGGCTGCGGAGACTGACGTAAACATTACAATTAAACCCCAGTACGATGGCAAATACTGTCTGAGTAAAGGCTGCAAATTTATTGCCAGTACTAATACATTTATCAATATGTATAGCAGAATGAATATGCTCTTTCGATTAACACATAAAAATGATTAAAGTCAAGAAATACGTACGATTGACGATAATTGTAGATTAGCAGCAGCCGTCTTCGGTGTTTATCTCAGTGGCTATATCTAGCAGACGACGGGTATTGCGCATGCGCTAAAATTTCTGGCTCGTCCAAGAAGACCATTCGCGGGTTTTTCTTATATTAGTTAATATCGGTTTTATGCAACGGATATTAAGCTCCGATGGTAGTTACCATTGATGGTAACTACCATAATAGTAACTCGGGGAGTTACTATTATGGTAAGTCAAAAGTTTTATAATACGGGGCCCTGGACATTGGTTAATATGCGCTCAAATAAGACCTTGTTAATGTCGGCTGCTAGAAAATTTGCACCCCGTCTTCGATGAAGTATATAATAATCTACATTTCATGTGAGTTTCAGCACATTTAAAGCAAATGGGAAATCAGCAACGAATGTATAATTAACCCCAACCCCTTTTATATACTCTAGACGTTATATGCGCCAAACGTTTAGGTTTGTTCTGGACAATGGTTGATATGACTTCAAATAAGACCTTTTTATTGTCAGCTGCTAGAAATTTTGCACCCCGTATTGGGTGAGGTATATGATAATCTACATTTCATGTGAGTTTCAGCACATTTCAAGCAAATGGGAAATCAGCAACGAATGTAATACCCCCCATACCCTTTTAATTACTCTAGACTTTATATGCGCCAAAGGTTAAGGTTTGTTTTGGACATTGGTTGATATGCGCTCAAATAAAACCTTTTTATTTTCAGCTGCTAGAATTTTTGCACCCCGTATTGGGTGAGGTATGCAATAATCTACATTTCGTGTGATTTTCAGCACATTTAACGCAAGTGGGAATTAGCAACAAATTTATTAACCCCACCCCCTTCTTTATAATCTTGACATTAATTGCGCCAAACGTTTACGTTTGTTCTAGACGTTGGTTGATATGCGCTTAAATAAGACCTTTTTAATGTAAGCTGCTAGAATATTGGCACCACGTATTCGATGAGGTATATAATAATCTATATTTTATGTGAGTTTCAGCACATTTAAAGCATATGGAAAATTAGCAACGAATATATTAACCCCCACCCCTTCTAAATACTCTAGACGTTTTTTGCGCTATACGTTTAGGTTTGTTCTGGACATTGGTTGATATGCGCTCAAATAAGACCGTTTTAATGTCAGCTGCTAGAATTTTTGCACCCCGTTTTCGATGAGGTATATAATAATCTACATTTCATGTGAGTTTCAGCACATTTAAAGCAAATGGGAAATCAGCAACGAATGTATTAACCCCCATCCCCTTTTATATACTCTAGACGTTATATGCGCCAAAGGTTTAGGTTTGTTTTGGACATTGGTTGATATGCGCTCAAATAAGACCTTTTTTATTTTAAGCTGCTAGAATTTTTGCACCCCGTATTGGGTGAGGTATATAATAATCTACATTTCATGTAAGTTTAAGCACATTTAAAGCAAATGGGAAATCAGCAACGAATGTTTTAACCCCTACCCCTTTACTAGACGTTATACACCCTGTATGTGCCAAACGTTTAGGTTTGTTCTGGACATTGGTTAATATGCGCTCAAATAAGACCTTGTTAATGTCGGCTGCTAGAAATTTTGCACCCCGTATTCGATGAGGTATATAATAATCTACATATCATGTGATTTTCAGCACATTTAAAGCAAATGGGAAATCAGCAACGAATGTATAATTAACCCCAACCCCTTTTATATACTCTAGACGTTATATGCGCCAAACGTTTAGGTTTGTTCTGGTCATTGGTTGATATGCCTTCAAATAAGACCTTTTTATTTTCAGCTGCTAGAATTTTTGCACCCCGTATTGGGTGAGGTATGTAATAATCTACATTTCGTGTGATTTTCAGCACATTTAACGCAAGTGGGAATTAGCAACAAATTTATTAACCCCACCCCCTTCTTTATACTCTTGACGTTAATTGCGCCAAACGTTTACGTTTGTTCTAGACGTTGGTTGATATGCGCTTAAATAAGACCTTTTTAATGTAAGCTGCTAGATAATTGGCACCACGTATTCGATGAGGTATATAATAATCTATATTTTATGTGATTTTCAGCACATTTAAAGCATATGGAAAATTAGCAACGAATATATTAACCCCCACCCCTTCTAAATACTCTAGACGTTTTTTGCGCTATACGTTTAGGTTTGTTCTGGACATTGGTTGATATGCGCTCAAATAAGACCGTTTTAATGTCAGCTGCTAGAATTTTTGCACCCCGTTTTCGATGAGGTATATAATAATCTACATTTCATGTGAGTTTCAGCACATTTAAAGCAAATGGGAAATCAGCAACGAATGTATTAACCCCCATCCCCTTTTATATACTCTAGACGTTATATGCGCCAAAGGTTTAGGTTTGTTTTGGACATTGGTTGATATGCGCTCAAATAAGACCTTTTTTATTTTAAGCTGCTAGAATTTTTGCACCCCGTATTGGGTGAGGTATATAATAATCTACATTTCATGTAAGTTTAAGCACATTTAAAGCAAATGGGAAATCAGCAACGAATGTTTTAACCCCTACCCCTTTACTAGACGTTATACACCCTGTATGTGCCAAACGTTTAGGTTTGTTCTGGACATTGGTTAATATGCGCTCAAATAAGACCTTGTTAATGTCGGCTGCTAGAAATTTTGCACCCCGTATTCGATGAAGTATATAATAATCTATATTTTATGTGAGTTTCAGCACATTTAAAGCAAATGGGAAATCAGCAACGAATGTATAATTAACCCCAACCCCTTTTATATACTCTAGACGTTATATGCGCCAAAGGTTTAGGTTTGTTCTGGACAATGGTTGATATGCCTTCAAATAAGACCTTTTTATTGTCAGCTGCTAGAAATTTTGCACCCCGTATTGGGTGAGGTATATGATAATCTACATTTCATGTCAGTTTCAACACATTTCAAGCAAATGGGAAATCAGCAACGAATGTAATAACCCCCATACCCTTTTAATTACTCTAGACTTTATATGCGCCAAAGGTTAAGGTTTGTTTTGGACATTGGTTGATATGCGCTCAAATAAGACCTTTTTATTTTAAGCTGCTAGAATTTTTGCACCCCGTATTGGGTGAGGTATATAATAATCTACATTTCGTGTGATTTTCAGCACATTTAACGCAAGTGGGAATTAGCAACAAATTTATTAACCCCATTCCCTTCTTTATACTCTTGACGTTAATTGCGCCAAACGTTTACGTTTGTTCTAGACGTTGGTTGATATGCGCTTAAATAAGACCTTTTTAATGTAAGATGCTAGAATTTTGGCACCACGTATTTGATGAGGTATATAATAATCTATATTTTATGTGAGTTTCAGCACATTTAAAGCATATGGAAAATTAGCAACGAATATATTAACCCCCACCCCTTCTAAATACTCTAGACGTTTTTTGCGCTATACGTTTATGTTTGTTCTGGACATTGTTTGATATGCGCTCAAATAAGACCGTTTTAATGTCAGCTGCTAGAATTTTTGCACCCCGTTTTCGATGAAGTATATAATAATCTACATTTCATGTGAGTTTCAGCACATTTAAAGCAAATGGGAAATCAGCAACGAATGTATAATTAACCCCAACCCCTTTTATATACTCTAGACGTTATATGCGCCAAACGTTTAGGTTTGTTCTGGACATTGGTTGATATGCGCTCAAATAAGACCGTTTTATTTTCAGCTGCTAGAATTTTTGCACCCCGTTTTCGATGAGGTATATAATAATCTACATTTCATGTGAGTTTCAGCACATTTAAAGCAAATGGGAAATCAGCAACGAATGTATTAACCCCAATCCCCTTTTATATACTCTAGACGTTATATGCGCCAAAGGTTTAGGTTTGTTTTGGACATTGGTTGATATGCGCTCAAATAAGACCTTTTTTATTTTCAGCTGCTAGAATTTTTGCACCCCGTATTGGGTGAGGTATATAATAATCTACATTTCATGTAAGTTTAAGCACATTTAAAGCAAATGGGAAATTAGCAACAAATGTATTAACCCCACCCCCTTCTTAATACTCTGGACGTTATATGCACCAAAAGTTTAAGTTTGTTCTGGACATTGGTTGATAAGCGCTCAAATAAGACCTTTTTAATGTCGGTTGCTAGAATTTTTGCACCCTGTTTTCGATGAGGTATATAATAATCTACATTTCATGTGAGTTTCAGCACATTTAAAGCAAATGGGAAATCAGCAACGAATGTATTAACCCCCACCCCTTTACTAGACGTTATACACCCTGTATGCGCCAAACGTTTAGGTTTGTTCTGGACATTGGTTAATATGCGCTCAAATAAGACCTTGTTAATGTCGGCTGCTAGATATTTTGCACCCCGTATTCGATGAGGTATAATAATCTACATATCATGTGATTTTCAGCACATTTAAAGCAAATGGGAAATCAGCAACGAATGTATAATTAACCCCAACCCCTTTTATATACTCTAGACGTTATATGCGCCAAACGTTTAGGTTTGTTCTGGACAATGGTTGATATGCCTTCAAATAAGACCTTTTTATTGTCAGCTGCTAGAAATTTTGCACCCCGTATTGGGTGAGGTATATGATAATCTACATTTCATGTCAGTTTCAACACATTTCAAGCAAATGGGAAATCAGCAACGAATGTAATACCCCCCATACCCTTTTAATTACTCTAGACTTTATATGCGCCAAAGGTTAAGGTTTGTTTTGGACATTGGTTGATATGCGCTCAAATAAGACCTTTTTATTTTCAGCTGCTAGAATTTTTGCACCCCGTATTGGGTGAGGTATGTAATAATCTACATTTCGTGTGATTTTCAGCACATTTAACGCAAGTGGGAATTAGCAACAAATTTATTAACCCCACCCCCTTCTTTATACTCTTGACGTTAATTGCGCCAAACGTTTACGTTTGTTCTAGACGTTGGTTGATATGCGCTTAAATAAGACCTTTTTAATGTAAGCTGCTAGATAATTGGCACCACGTATTCGATGAGGTATATAATAATCTATATTTTATGTGATTTTCAGCACATTTAAAGCATATGGAAAATAAGCAACGAATATATTAACCCCCACCCCTTCTAAATACTCTAGACGTTTTTTGCGCTATACGTTTAGGTTTGTTCTGGACATTGGTTGATATGCGCTCAAATAAGACCGTTTTAATGTCAGCTGCTAGAATTTTTGCACCCCGTTTTCGATGAGGTATATAATAATCTACATTTCATGTGAGTTTCAGCACATTT